AAAAAAAAAAAAAAAAAAAAAAAAAAAAAGTCGGTGGTGAAGGTAGAGCGCCGAGATCCCCTCTCCCCCTCCGGTCCCTTCCCTGGCTAAGCAAGTACAATGGAAAGAAGCTGGAATATACTCACCATCCGAAGGTGTGGTTGGCAGTTCGGCTGAGGCTTTAAGGCAATTATTTATCCTTTTTTTTTTTTTTTTTTTTAAAGTATTATTGCAAAAGACGTAGATCTGACTTTAAGCAGCTGAAGTGTTTTGCTCTGACAACAGCAAGCGAGGCTTGGATCCTCGTTAAAAAAAAAAAAAATCACAAAACAGGATTCCCACCCCCCCCATCCCTTACCACTATCCCTTAAAAATACCTATTCGGCACAGCTCTCGCAGAAACCCTGATGCAGAAATCTTATAGTCCGGTCTAGGAGTGCCCAAGCCAATTAATTTTAAATCCTTAGGAATTAATCAGATTAAAATGTACAGAAGTTTCATTCTCGTATGCATACGTGAGCCAAAAGTCGTTTCCCTTTAAGAGATCCTTTTCTTTTAAAGTTGAATTTTAGGCAGATAAGAGACTTACACTAGGGGGCAGCCAGATACTGTACTTGCTCCAATCTTAAGCAATTTTTTTTCCTCTCTCACAGCATATGCTCTGATTTAGCACTGTAAATTTTTCAGAGGACCCAACTCTGACAGCCCCTGGTGATTTTCAAAGTACCACAAGCCAGTGGTTAAAAATTGCATTGACTTGGAAGTTCAGAGGCACACAATAGGAGCCACTTTCCCTATTCATGGAACTTCAGTGTGGTGGAAGAGAAAAACACACACATACTACATTGAGGGAGAAGAGGAATTCATTGAATTCTGTTAGACGTAACTGCTTTCCACTGAGTTCAGAGCGAAACTCGGTATTTGTTCGATGCTGTATTCATATTGCGATTTAATCTAGAAAGAATTAGAGGACTGTTAGGCAGCTTTCTGCCAGGAAAGCAGCTTCCCCCTCCTTCCTCCTCTCTTTTTGAAACCTAAAGATTTACACCGGCTCTATCCCCAACTCTATTTTAGCAAAATAAATCCTTCCACTCCCTCTCATTAAAATAAATTTACATCTGCAGTAAAATGGCAGGAGGGATGCGTTTGTTTATTTGGAAAACCAATACGGTCTCACTTTTAAACCAGAGCATTTCTATTGTCATTAGCCTCAGAGAAGGACAGTGGAGAATCTCCCCCTTCCTTGCGAGGCGCTCAGGTTTCGAGAATTATTTAGCGAAATTAGCTGCAGTTCATTTTTACATTCATCTCTTCTGTCTCAACCCACTCGCAGGGGTGTTTTCAAATAAATAGCAAAGCATCTAATGGTGCTAATAGATAGTTATATCGCTGTATCCCTCGAAGAGCAAATAGTTAATCTGGGGCATTCTTCATTAATGCTTGAGCAATCAGCGTATACGGCGGCTTTTAAGCGTGTATCAATGGTTTTTCATTTTTACGATCATACGTTCAAACTATTAATATTGTGCGCCCTGTTAAAACCGCTTTCTCTTCTGATTTCTGCATTTGTTAGGACGGCGTTTACGTTTTTTTCATATGGTGAATTAATCCTGTTTACTTTGTCAGATTCTAGACAGGAAAGGTTGGTGTTGGGTTGTGCTTTGGGTTTTGGCTTTTATTTTTTTTCCTCAGGAAATTCAACATCAGCAATAATCTGTGACTATTCTGCATTTTGAACCCCCACCTTCTCCTACCCTCCCCGAAAGGTGACCTCCTCAGCTCTGGCTTGTTTGGAAATCCTAAGGCAGTTCCCCACATTTTAACCAGGAAAGATTCCTTTCCCACTTTTCTGTCTTCCCAATCCCTGCTGGTCACTGTTTCGGGTAAAGGTTATTTTTTGCTCCATGAGGATCAATGGCAACGCTGCAGCCTTGTCTTTGAAATTGAGTCGCAAAAACCTCTTCGCCCGTGGGGTCTGAACACAGCGGCTTTCCAGGCAGGACACCCTCGAGTCGAGGTGCTTTTTACAACTTTCCAGCCACCTCCGCACCTGCGGCTTTAGCCACATGTATTATTTCTGCGGCAGAAGTATGTGGGCATGCGGCAACATGAAAAAGTGTGTGTGAGGTGGTGAGGGGCAATCAATCCCTCCCAGAGCTGTGCCCAGGTCTGTGTCCCCGCGGCCGGGCTTGGTGACCGGCTGGGATGTGAGCGCCCTTATTCGCGTGTGTTCGCAGAGGAGGAATGCTCCGGCCGGGCATTTTTCTCTCTGTGTTGACATGTTTTCTATTTTATCTCTCCGTCCCTTCGCTTGTTCGAGCGTCTTTTGGCCATTTTCACCGGGAGAAGGACTCGAGTCCCCGCTCGGCTGGCCGGTGGCTCCATTCAGCGGGAAATAAACACGTCCCCGTGCTTAGCTCTGTTACATGTTCGCGGTACAGCACCGAGGCCGCGTTACAGCGGCGGGGTACGTGTGGTCATGAAAGCCCCGAACCCGCAAAACCCCGAAATAAAGTTAAAGGGGTTGAGGCGAGCGGCTCCGCGGCGATGCCGAGCGAAAGGCACGGCTGTCACGCTCGGCGGAGCGGCGTGCCGGGCTTCGCTGCTGCCTGGAGCGGAGCCGCGGTCCCCTCGCTTCGGGGCGAGCGGGAACGAGGAGCGCTCGAGCGGAGCCCCCGCGCCCCGCCGGGGCC